ACATAGAGAGAGAGAATGAGAGAGAGAGAGAGAGAGAGAGAGAGAGAGAGAGAGAAAGAGAGATATTGAGAGAGAGGGATTGAGAGAGACTGAGAGAGATTGAGAGAAAGATTGGGAGAGATTGGGTGCCTGCTTTGCAAGAGAGACAGGTGTAGACAGATGCACATAGATGGATAGATAGATAGAGAGATAAATAGATAAATAGGAGAGAGAAGGGGGTTGGTGGAGAGACAGACAGACAGACAGACAGACAGACAGACAGAGAGAAACTATAGCCACTATACGATCAAAACAACAAACGTCCTTTTCCGTTTCTCCCTATGTTTTCCTTTCGTTCCAGCACAAAATGGCCATCGTGATTACTGGTACCTCGCCATCGTGATTACTGGTACCTCTATAACTCTGACTCAAAAGATTAGAGCCTAGGAGAATGGCGAAGAGCACAGGCGTTAATCCTGTCCGTGTTCTGATCTCACAAATCCCACGGATTATCCTGTCCGTAGTTCCGATTTCTCCTATACAACCTGGTTGTAGTGGTGCATTTTAATTTTATGTTACTCTGCTGTCCCTCCACAGAAGTGGGGAAAGAAGATTGGTTACACAGTGGGTGCCTGGAGGGCGCGACGGGTAGGTCCTACTTCTTTACTTTCCCTACTATGTTGTTTCTGTCTGTCTTACCTTTTCCAGCACCAAATGACCTTTATAGTTTGATGTGCTTCTCTTTACCCCCCCTCGGTGGTAACAGAAAATTGAATTTTTTGGTGCTTTTAATCTACGTTTTTCAGCAAAATCCACGCCGAAATTAGTTCTATAAAGGGCATGAAAGGTGTTGAGCCAAAAAACAAAAATTTGATAAAGATTCACAAACCTGTGGAAAAATGCAAGTTTCTTCACTTTGATAATTTTGACGAGAGCCTGATTCCACCACGCTACCTCACATTCAACATTTGTGTCAGGACGCGGTAGAATCAGTCACTCGTCAATATTTGGTCATATTATGGAGTCATTGGTATCCTCTTAAAGCTTGTTAATTTGCTTTGCTTTCAATAGAAACAAATTTCAATCGGTCCTGAACGGAAGTCAAGATGTTTGTGATTTAAGGAGTTGATAGTCGCCTGGTTTCATAGGTAAAACTAACGAGAAAAAAGACGCCAAAATTTGGTGGTTTCCAGAGTTCGAGAATCCTTGGATAGTGCGAATTTACATGTTTCCTACCTTAAATCAACGTTTTTCTGTGAAATCCACACATACATGGATTTTTAGAAGGGCATAAAAGGTGCCCAGCGACCCCCCCCCC